CCCTCAATAATATATAGAAGAGTTGATCTTGGGTAACTGGATAAAGAGGTGTAACAATTGAGCAACAAAAATTTGGCAAAGATGAAATAAACATAAAGTAAACTGATTAGCAAGAAGTGCAAGCTGCAATTGCAAATAAAGAGTGCATAAAACATAAAAATTTGTCTTGCTTTACTTTAATATTTTTATAGCTCTTATTATATATGGGTGAGTTTATATCACTCACTCTCTAGAAATAACTTCTACATAGGATCAAAAAAAAAGGTTGAAAGACTCCACACTTTTCTCCACCGAATAGTGCATGTTGAAGCAACCTCCCTCAAGAAACTAGCTTGATTGCAATAACTCTAAAAGCTTGTGAGTCGCCAATACCTTGACCCTCAAGTCTGGTACCTTCCAGTGCAGCATAGAAATTTCATTACTTGCAAAGAATGCCTTCTCCTGGGCCGCTATCCTTCTCTTACCTTCCTCATACTCAACCTTGACATGCGTAGTTCCTCTCAAAAGCCTAAACATGCCGAAGCAGAGCCTCCAAGAAAGACGACACGAGTGTGGTTATCTCGACATCTTGGTGACAAGGCCAAGTGCTAGACGACAAAGATGAAGCAATTGGGAGTGGGAGTTCCTAGTTGGAGAGTGCTACACCTGCTTCCTTATAGGCTCAGCCTACATAAACTCGATAGGCATCTTTATCCAACAAGCTAAGAGTAACATCGAGCAGTTAATCATAAAGATCCCAAGTCCTCATACGCAAGCCCAAGTCCAATTAGATTAGGGCCAACACCTCAAGCTCACTCAACATGTGACCTAGAAACTTGTTTGAGGTCAAGTGAATCTTAGATTCACTCAAGATCAACAACATGTGGCCCTAGATATGAATTGCAAAAAAATTAAAAAGGAATCCTTTTTACCTCGACTAGTCACTCGTGATCACCCAACTTCCTCTAGCATGGGGTCATGGCTACTTGTCGACAATTGGATCCCCACGAGAAAGAGTCGGTACTATCTTACGATCAAAAATTGCCATCTCATGAATGACACTTGCTATAGCCAAAACTTGGCAAGCTCCCTAAAATATGAAGACTCATCTAAAGTGCCTTTCAGTAAGGGGCATGTCATCATAACTCAAAGAAGAGACCATCTTTGCCTTGGCACAATCTCTGCCACCTTACTCAGCTCGCCCTTTGCCACTTTACTCAACTCTCCCTTTTTCACTTTACTTGATCACTGTCACTTGTTGTTGCTTCTTCTTCCCAGCAACTTGATTGGACTTCTTCTCTTCGGTCTCCATTATTAAAGAAGGGCCTTTTATAATTTCTGACTATCCATATCAACAAATTTTGTGGGCCTCACGTTGGTCATCTCTCAAGCGAGCTAGGAGAATTCATTCAAGAAAAATGTAGCCCTATTTGTACCTTTTGCTACTATTTATAGCCAAAGATGGTACTCAATGTCATTATGAAAATCTTGGACGAAGGTGCTCCTCTTGAGGCTGCAATAGAAGTGGGGCAGTAATTTCTATTTAAATTCTGTTTGTCATTTGGTGAAGATAATAAATACTTTCTTTATTAATTTCTTTGTCCTTTTTCATAAACAGCTCTTCAAAAGAGGAAGCAAATTGGGAAGCTAAATGTATGTTCATACATTCCCATGAAGGCCACTCGCAAGTATCTAAATAGGTTCATGCCCAAGGAGTGTGACCAAAGAGAAAGAATCTCTTAAGGCAATGTGCACTCAAAGCAAGCCTCTCCCCAAGCGGGAGTCTCCATAACCAATCTATGAGAAAGCAAGTAGTTGTACCAGTGGAGCTCACAACATATGAGCTCACCTCTAAAGGATCATATCAAGAATGTGCTCATTCTTGGCGAGTTTGTCTAGAGGACTTACCTCAATAAATCTTCTCGCTAAGGGGCACTGGCCCCAGGAGGATATGCTCCTCTTAGTAGTTTTCCTCAGCTAAGGTCATTCGCCTTCCATAGATTAACACAACCCAAGATACAGGAAACACGCACCTACAGAGCCCATGATCATGATCATACCTATTAACGGCGAATGGCACACCATGGAGCGAAGTTCCCTTTGGAGCCATGGCGCATAGCGCGGTGCGCGCTATTTTGAACATGGCGCAAGCTATATAAAAATTATAAAATAATAAGTATGAATATGAAATATAATTAAAAATGAAAGACAAGCTATCATAATAATAAAAGACAACCATAACATATATAAGTTCGACTAAGTAACATTAAAATATCTCATAATTCAAATATTACAATATTTTTTTAAAAAGATCAAATAAGAATTTAATCTACTCTTCTTGGGAATCATCATCAGCAAATGTTAAAAAAGCTTCATTATTTTCTTCAACATTGTCTCTTACTTCATAATTCTCTTCATCACCCTCCTCATCATCATTCTCAATAGCAACATTATGCCTAATTGAAGATTCTTTCTCTTTCCCTTTATATCTTTACCGAATATTATAACTTTTATCATAAACACCAGTAGCTTTAGCAACACTAGTCCAAGTTAAATCTTCCTCTCCAGCAATAAAGTCATTTTCATCATCAGACTCATCATCTAATTTTCCTGTTAGTCATTCATTTGCATCATCTATGTCAGTCAAAGAAATAGGATCAATGACATCACGATGATTGAATCACCGAATCAGTGCTCTATAATATTTCACATAAACTAAATTCTTTAAGCGACCATGATCCAATTTGTTTCTTCGTTTGCTATGAAGCTGCAATTAAAATATTATTACATTACTATATTATGAACAATATATAAAATCACACATACATTGTAAAATACTTACATGTTCAAAATACTCCAATTGCGTTCACATCCAGATGAACTACATGTTAGATTAGGACTTTGATAGCAAACTTTGTAAATTGGGATCTTTGTCCATATGCCACCACCAATCAGCTGAAAAATGATTTTTTTCATTATATAACAAATCAGTCTTAATTTTTTTTGTGAATAATAATACCTGGAGATCGGATAGTTCTTTGTCTTACTGCTGGAGGAATACCAAAAAGTCCTTCACCCCTAATGTATAAACTTAATTCATTACTGATTTTATCTTCTTCAGCTACATCTTGAGATAATCTTCCAATACATTGGTAAAACCCCAACGAGCTAAACTGACCTTTTCTATGCTTTACTACATCTTCAGCACCTGCCTTGTATTCATAAAACCCCCAATGAGGAGTTGTTTGTGGCGTGTAATATCTCTTTTTGTTATTTTACCACAAAAAATGCATGTCACACTGTTGTTGTCGGATTCATTTGTTAGTATAGCATATTTTCATGCTGGATCTTTTTTTAAAGATTGAACTGAATCTGACATTTTATGATCACCTAAAAGCAAACAAATTTAGATAAAAGAAACAGCATATACACAGTGGTACCGAGCGTCTTAGCGGTATCGAGCATGTACTAAGCGTGTACCGAACGCGTACTAAGTGTGTACCTAGTTGTACCGAGCTGTACCGAGCATGTAAATAGCGGTATTCAGCATATACATAGCGGTACCGGGCATTTACTTAGCGATATCGAGCATGTTTCTAGCGGTACCGAGCATACATTTTAAGTTGTAAATTATTGTAAGAAATAGCCGTGCAAAACAACAAAGCTGTGCGGAACAGACGGAGGTTGTAAATCGGAGTCAGCTGGTAAGATTTTTTATTGGAACAGAGGAAGGAGGGGGAGGATTTGGGAGAAGCACTACTCAGCGGGACGATTCGGCGAAAACAACGACTTCAACTTCGGGACAGATTCGGCTGGATTCGGCGAAAGCAGCGAATGCAGCAAACCGAAGACAAAAAACCTTCGACTTCGAGATAGATTCAGCGACCTCGACTTAGGGACTGCGGGATGTGTTCGGCGAATGCAACAAACAAAAAATCTTTCGTGAAATTATGGCAATGAATACTCATTTATCTTAAAATATAAATATATTTTTAAATATAAAAAATATTCATAAGTATACCGAAATTTATAAATAATTTGGCGCGCTATTTTGCGCCATGTGCAATGCGCCATGGCTCGCATGTGGCGCAAATAGCGCACGCTATTTTAAACACATGTGCCTTGACATGAACATGGTGCCATAGGTGCGCCGTGCACCATGGCGCGCGCTATTTTGCGCCATTGACAGCTATGATCATGACTCCATCAACTATGTTCATCCCTAACTCAAAACAACGTTCGTTCAGGGGACTCTTCGCTCACCCCGAGGGGCTCCCCCAAGATGCTTATCGAAGGATTCCTCAAAACACGTCAAGGGAAAACAACCGCATCAGAGATAAAGAGTCATGTGCCCACATTTCAGCCTAGCCCATGTATTTGTGTCAATATATACTTGTCACATCATGTATTTTTTTCTATTTTTTTAGGTGCAATATTTCTTGTAACCCTCTTAACCTTGTAAATAAGGGATTAAGAGAGTATTTTGAACTTCATTCTACTTTTACTATTCACAAAGATAATTTAGCTTCACATTTACTCTCCATACTTGTTGATTCCCTCACCCTATTCTCTTGCTCTTATTTGCTAAACCTGTTCGTAGAGATAAGTGTCACCCACAGACAAACCTGGATCCAACATCCTTGACATCTCCTTTGTACATCTAACATCAACAATAAGCTACTTTTGAGACTCCTTAAGCAGACTAAAGGCGAGTCCATTTCAAATCTCTGACACCCATTATGATTCTGTGGACAACTCGACAAGGCATAGATTCTCTCTATTATTCCTATAAATATTTGGCATATATTAAGCCTATGCCGCCCAAAACACCCCAAAAATGCTAAATCGACCCTACTATCAATCGACCTGATCAAAATCATCTCAAGCTGCTCAAAAAATCCCTTCAAAATCAATCCACTAAAAAAAAGAACCGATATGTCCAAAAGCCAAAACAAACAATGAATCAATCTCACTCGGTGCACGAATAGAGAAAAAAACAGGGGAAAAATAAAAAAACTCACCGAAGGACTAAAACGTTTGTAGTGGCAACGAAGAAGAATAAATCAAGAAATTCTTGAAAGAACTCCGCCTACTTCGCTTGAGAGAGAGAGAGTAAGAGAAGGAAGCTTGCCCTAGTTTTGGAGCGGGTGGAGTTCAGAATCCGACAAATGGCAACCGCCACGATGAAAATGAGTGGCAAATGTAGTAAAAATAGCTGTCACGTGAAACAGGTCTCTTTTTTTTCTTTAAATGTTCATTAAAATGTTTTACTATTATTATTATTATTATTATTATATAAGAAAACAATTATATTAAATATTATGGTTTATTTTGTATTAAAATTATAATAATCTTATTAAATATATTTAATTTCAGACATCACATATTACTCTATATATCTAAATTAGTAGATAATAGAACTATATTTAAAATATAGATATAACTAAATTATTAGCTAATATAATTCTCTATACAATTGAATATAAAACTTATATGGGCCAAGAATGACATTGAACATCTTAATCACATTTGACATAGTGAATTTAATTAGTACAAATGTATAGGTTTTTCATGAGCTATGATCAACTCATATTTATCATGGAAAGCATTTAGAGAGAAAGAAATAATCCTACAATACAAATTTGATTAGATAGCAATTAATAAGCTCTATACAATTGAATATAAAACTTATATGGGCCAAGAATGACATTGAACATCTTAATCACATTTGACATAGTGAATTTAATTAGTACAAATGTATAGGTTTTTCATGAGCTATGATCAACTCATATTTATCATGGAAAGCATTTAGAGAGAAAGAAAGTTGACAAAAAATTATAAAATAGGCAAAATTTAACCAAGCCTAGTTTGAAAATTGGAATGGCTCTTCATGCAAGCAATATTTAACACTGGTATATCCTTCTTCTTTTTTAAGGTCAATCCTTAGAATTTTAGAGTGAAATTAAAGCTTTTTAAAGTCATCAAAATGAGAATTTTGAGGAAAGAGTGGTTGACCATGCTTCATGCCTTGAGATATTTGCTTGGTGATGATGAAGATAGACCTTGATCTTGATGTTGTAACGAGCTGAAAATTTTGAAAGTAATTTTAAAATAAAAATCTAAATTTTTTGGAAAATATAGCTACAATGTTGTGTGCTTGCAAGCGCAATAGGGTTGGCAGACTCTAGGAGAGCGTTATTGCTATGATGAGCTCAATGGAATTTTTTGAAATAATTCAGCACAGTGGAGATAAGGTGGTGTTGCAACGCAGTGTTATATTACATGCAGCATTGTGACGTTGGGTCATAGAAGCACTGCGATGCTAGGCACTAAAAATATTTTTAATATGAATTTCTCCTCCACTCAACCACCCTTACATTCCATCAATTGGGATTGTTGGGGAAGGAAAGGAAGAGAGGTAGAGGGGAAGGGCAGAGGGGAGAAAGAGAGAGAGAGAGAAAAGAGAAAATGAGTTTAAAGCATATTCACTCATCGATTATGTTCAGAGATTTTTTCTATTTGTGGTAGGTAACTCAAATTCTACTATGGTTTTTAATTTTTCCCAAATTGATAAAATTATATTTTTCTTCTGATTTATTGAACTTTTAATTTATAACTTTTTGTATATAATTGATATGGATTATATGAGCTTATTGACTGTAATATTATTGAATTTCTCTATGTGGATTGATAATTATGATTTTCTGAAGTAAATAAATTGTGTATATATTTCTTATATTTCATATATACATTATATTGACTTTTATATTGCATAGAAAAAATTATATGATTGATGTAAGATAAATGTGACATTTACATCTAAACAAGGAAGGTTGGTTGTTATTACTATAATTAATTTGGATTGACTATTAAAATATAATATCTTGTGTATGAGGGTGGGCTGATGGGCATTACTTAAAATAAAAGATTTGTGGTGTAATCCTGAATGTTAGCCTATAATTGATTGATTTACACCAATGGGTAGAGGATGATGACTTTTTATAGTTTATTGAAAGGCACATACAATGATGATAATGAAATAATAATATATTGAATAATTGAGAAGACTCATGATCAATAGCAAATGAAATAATGAAAATATCATTTTAAAGCTAAATGTCCTACCTTTCAATTCATAATTGCATTCATAATTATATTTATATGATAGCACATGAACTGACTGATAGATAAACCTGATAAAAATTGCATTAAATTTTATATAGTATGATATGGAATATGACAAATACACTTATTAGATATTGATGGACATATTGATATACTACATTGGTATGACATACTAATAAACAAGAACACATGGAACATCAGTGATAAAACATATGATATAATCCAAGTCATTAATATAATTGATAGATAGTCGACATATGTGTTATTATGCGAGGCAATATTTTATAGACTATCATTGATTTCATTATATGTTGATAGATTCCTATGCTTATTGATGTACTTTTAAATTATTGATCATATTAATTTATATATATATATATTGATATTGATCATTAATTTCATATCAATGACCACTAATTTTGTATTGATTTAGTTGATCATGCATATTGATTCTTAAGACGTTGCATTGAATATTGTTGTGAGTTTAATTAATTGCTAGGTTGTGCGCTCATTATATGAATTTGATTAATTTCAGGTCAGGGAATGAGTTAAGATCCAATGGAGTGAGGTTGATAGGATCTTTAAGTTTTTATTTTAATTTCAATATTTTGCTTTATTCTTTTGTTGTTAGAAGCTTATCGGTATATATCAATGTTGTAGTGATCCCTTGGCTATTATAAATCAAATTTTAATGAATGAATATAATAAAAGATTTTGATAAATATAATTTATAAATTTGTTTCTATTGAACTTATTTATATTGATGATTTTACAGAAGCTTTCGTAGATTAAATAACAGATAAAAGATATAATTCTTCTCATTTAGATTTTGTGTCCTCACTAATGTATTGTTTTGATTATTTGAGGTCGTGTTATAGGTCTATGTGGTTGCATTATATCACATAAAATATTTTTAGCTCCTCATTATTATAAACTTTTTTAGGGCTCTCCTTAAAATATTAAGGAGCAATATGTTTGAAATTAATTTATTCTCTAAAATTGAGATAATGACTATTGTTATAATAGAGGTAGATTATCATTTTTTTTCCAACAAAAAGTATTGCATTCTTTCTTTAGATAGAATTATGTATATATTCATCAATTTGAGAGAAATGATGTCTTCTTCTTCTAAATCACATACCATTTGTGTAAGATATCTTCTTAATGATTTGGTATGGATGCTAATATATTTGGGAGGAGTTTGGCTATCATGTTTCTTCCTCTCTACTTGTTGTTGGCCTCTTTATTAGTTTGTTCTATCAATTTTTAGATTAATGCAACAACTTTAGAGGGTTGAGCTAGTATAGACTTCTTCAAAATGAAATGATTAGCATCTTTATACATCTGAATTTCATGAATCATTAAGGCTTATATATTTCTAATAATTTTGCATTACACTTGATATATCATACAAAAATTATCTTGATCGGGCACTAATCTCAAAGCAAAATCAAGTTGGAAACTTCAAAAATTAATTCGGATACCATCTGAACTCCAATTTCAACAAACTTACAGTCGAACTGAGTGTCTCGGAAATACGAATCCAACGACTCTAAATTTGACTCAATCTAAGTCCAAATGAGTCCAAATCAAGGACTCGAAGCGCTGTTGGAAGCTTCATAACATTGTTTGAGTTACCAACGGTCTCCGATTTTTACGATCTTATACTCGAATCGAACGGCTCGACAAGACAAATCCAACGAGCCTAAGATAGTCGAATTCCGACATCTCTAAGGCCTTCAAATGTCCATCGAATGGTGCATGATTATAGGATTCAAGATCGACCGTCCATTCAACCACTCCCAACTAACCCTTGATCCTCCACCTATTTACGGGTTATGTCATTCCCAAAATCTATAAATAGAGTCTCATCTTCTCTTGAAGGAGGACCCCCAGGAGCTTAAGGAAAAAAGAGAGAGATCGGAGATCGCTCTTACTTCTTAGCCTCCTCGACCACCGCCGGAGTTTCGCCGGACCACCGCCTAACGCCGTCACTCCGCCGGACCACCACCTGACGCCCTGTGCTCCACCGGACCACCTCCTAACGCCTTCACTCCGCCGGACCACCACCTGACGCCCTGTGCTCCACCGGACC